CACCAGAGCTTGTGCTTACACAGTGAAATTCATGGTTCAGTGCAGCCCATTGCCATGCCAAGCATATGCAGCACTACCAGCCGTTTGAGTGAGAAGCTGGAAATTGCACCCAGCACACAGCGCATGCTCAAGCTTTGCAGTCTCTTAGGGCAAGGCAACATTCACGATCAAGTGATGTTTGTGGCTGACAGTGCCACCCGGTTTATAGAGCTCCTGACGTGGTTTGAAGGCTGGCAGGCTGTGATCCACCTCGCACACAACAAGCTGATGGATTTGATAAGCTGGGTCGAAGACAGGGAGTCACAAGAACTATTGAGTTGTCCTCATGAAAACCAGCATAGAAAGGACCTGTTCCAGGCCATAGTTATGAAGCTGAACCAGTACTATACTACAGGGATGACCTGTCATTGCCACTGCAGTTCATACAACCAGGTGCTCCTTTCCTTAGTGCTGTTCACATTTTGGACCCCAACCAGGTGTAGTTTGCTGAGCTGTGACCCTCAGCTGTTGAAAGCAATCCCAGGATGGGGGAAAGAGCATGACAGTGAACGTGCTGTTTACATGACTCTTCAGAGTGCCAGATGCCTGTGTCTTTGCCTGTGTTCTGGGACTCTGTGACCAGTTTCCACATCTTTAGGCCCTGGCAAGACACTGCCTCACCATTCCAATGAACTCGATGGACGCTGAGTGTACCACCTCACCATCTGGATAAGTGTTCACCCCACAGAAACAGAATGTCTCCAGCAACTCTGGCTGGGTGCAGCATGCTCACATTTAATGCATAGTATGAACTGCCTGTCTCAAGGTTAGTATTCAGTTTCAGTAAATTCCTTTTTTATAATGTCCTTTATTAAAGTGTATATAATTGGTATTAGTTACAATTCATGTTATGCATAGCTTTATTTCCCTTGGTGCAGTGTCTGCTTTACTGTTTCATTGCTGCTGCTTAACAGCCCTTGGGTGTTACTGTTCTGCATCACAATTTTCTCTCTACTAACAGCAGTCTTTCCTGCCCAAGTGCAGGGGGACTGGACCCAATGATCTATAACGTCCCTTCCAGCCCCTAACGACTATGAAACTATGAAACCTGGTGAGTTAGATTTGGGTCTGTAACGAAGCCCAGGAATCCTACATAAGCAAAGTGTGATCGCTATACCGCTGAGCTCAGGGCTGTGGGTAGTTTTTTCAAATATTTCATAAAGTGACAGAACATTGCATATGTTGTTAGAAACCAAACTTCTTTTCCTATCCAATGACAATTTACAGAGAGTATCCAACTGATTCATTAGTTATTTCTTTGATGTGATGAATATGTTTTGTGTTTAACAGAGGTATTTAAAGTTATTCAAAATTGTACATGTAAACATTTAGTGTCTTCTTTCTTAGATGTTCTTATGATATATTTAAGTTAATTCATGTTTTATCATTGGGCTGGGCTTATGTTCTACTTTCTTTCCCAATAGAAAGAAGAAAAAAACAAATTCAATAAAAACATACTCAGAATAGAAAATATTTCCAATAGCAAAAATAGCAGTTGAAACGTTGTCTTATAGTCATAGTTTCATAGTGTTCTCATCTGGTCTTACAGACAAAACAAATTTAGCTAAATATTCAGTGCATCATGCGTTCTAATATAGCTTTTAGGGATTGAGCAGTGGCTTTTCCGTTTGGCATGTTCTAGGATAGAAACTGACTTGCAAACTATCTTTCTGGAAAGCTTCCCTTTACCTCTGTCTTTTTTATCTCTGTTCATATACACCCATCTTGCTGGTGTAAATAGTATGTAGCAGTGGAACAGCTTGCTTAAAGTCATTTGACTCTATACTTTTGCTATAATCTAAATTTTTCATGTATTTAGAGGTAATACAGTTTCCATACATTCTTTTCCTGCACTTTTTTTGGTTGTACCAGGTTACCACAAAGCCAATTTTGCTTATTGCTTTTGAAAGTTTTAGTAGCTTCCGGATAACTTAATTCATTGTAAGAATTTATTCGTCTCTATGTTCTTTCTGTTACAAGATCTCCTGTGTCTGGCTAGAAAGACAGTGTGTTTACTGCTGAAACAATTACTTTGTTTTTTACAGGTCTGAATCTATATAATACTAAAATAATGTGGGGCTGTAAATTTAGACAGGCCTAATTTATATCTCTTGATGTTCCCTAGGATGATTATGCTGCTGTTATTATTTTAAGGTTGATTTATTCATTTTATATTTAGTTTGGGCAATGTATATGAGTTTTTAAAACATAGCATTTTCAGTTATATTATTAAGAAAATAGAGGAAAAATATTTTTTCCTGTCTTTATCAAAACATTATTTATCTGAATCCAGATGATTCCCCCTCCCCCCCCCCCCCCAAAAAAAAAGAAAAAGATTCTATACGTGGAAAATGTATAAATGTGTTGATCTGAAATTTGTCTCCACCACTGCAGTAGTGGGGGAGGCAGTAGGAGCAGGCAGGAGAGGGTCTTACTTTTAAAAGACAGCTGGTGAGCCACATGAGGACCACAGGTTCCCATCCAGCCACTACTCTCCTCATTTCTCCTGCTATTGTGGTTGCCTGCATCTTTAGGCTCCCCCTCCTTCCTTCAGATTTTGCCTCCTACCCCTGCCTCTGGGGACCAGACCAAGCTTCCTACACTGCCTATGCTGGCTATGCAGTAGAGCAGGACCCTTAGTCCCAGTTTTGTGCTGTATAGCCCTAAGCTGCTGAGGAGTTAGGCAGCCCTGCTTTATGACTTTGTCTTTGCATTATGCTAGTTAAGAATCTGCAAATGTATCGCGGTTTCTTATTTTGTTGAATTACATGTGTGGAAATTTCACAGATGACTGTTTTTTACTTCATTCGGTATTTTCAGAAACTCTTGATTCTTCCCTTCCCTAACGTCAGAATTCCAAGCAACATTGTGTAGAACCATAGGCAGCCCATTTACAACTATTTAGTCAGTCCATGTTCATTCAGTCTTGTTTCTATGATGGAATAAAATCAAAAGTGCTCTTTCATAGTATTTTTCTAAAACAGCACTTTGGAAATAAGTGTTGGCACTGTCAGGTAGCAAAAATTGGCATTGACAGATTAGTAAAATTGGCAAGCTGCTTTGGCAGTACAAAGGCCCTAACCACTAATTCCCCTGCTACTGGATTCCTTTGCTTTTCCTGATGCTATCCTTTCTGCTCTGACCTTTTATTGAGTTTTTCTCTTTTTTTTTACCTTCCCCCACAGCGAATTCATCTGTATTCTTAGGTAATTTTACATGCACTTTTGTGTGCTTCCTCTCAAGTATTTATTTATTTATTCAAGAAGTAGAAAAAGTGACCATTACAAATCAACTATTTTAAACAGAACTTTTTCCAGAGCTTCAGCGACAGTTTCCCATAGAATTTCCTTGTGTGGGTGACTACCTCCTCTGGCAGCAAGTCATCAGCTTCTTACTTTTCAAATAACTTAAAACCGCAGGTCAATTTTGAGTTTATGTCCCACTTGTATAGATCTTTTGTGCTTGTTTTGATTGGCGTTATTTTCCCTTCTGTTAAAGCAAGACACCGAAAGTGCTATTACAATTGTTTTATTTGGTTTAGAATTTGACCATACTGAGCACCAATTCTGAAGTGTTTTATTCTTCTTAAATACCCTGTTGATGCTTGTTCTTAGGCTGAATTACTTTACTGAGAAGTGATCGGCACATTTTTAGCTTCTAATGTTCAGAAAGTACCAGTAAAGTCATGTAATAGAAGCAGACTATCTAATTATTTTAGTTTTGGAGGAGTACAATTTCCAAAGTTGGGAATAAAGCTGATGTATTATAGTAGGCTTTTGTAACAGTGCAGTCCCATGCCTACTACTCTTCCAAGCACAGCTGAATCTCTAGAGTGGAATCATCATTTTATGTCTCTGAAAATCTGGCTCCCTATCTTTGAAGACCTGGGGTGAATTCCTCAAGACAATGTCAAGCGATTCAATTGCTTGCTTAATGTTTTTAACCCTTGAAGCTGACAAAAGAGAGAGACAGGCAGACCCTTTGGCACTCTCATAGAAGTGTGTCACAGATGTAAAAAGTTTTCAGTTTTCTTTATAACTATATAAGAAAAAAAGTAGCACATATTTTAAAATATGCAACATTACATTTAATGGAGGGAATTCCATATTGATATGCATGTGTTAATCCTGCCTCTCCTCCTTTAACATGTAATTGTTTGTGAATTAATGTTCATCTTATTTTTTATATAACTGCTAGTTAAATTTCCAGAGTATGAATCTATGATGGAGTAAATAAATTATGATATAGAGTGATACAGATCCCAAATAATTCATGCACTTAAGCATGTCAGGACTCAGTAGAACTGCTTGAATATAGGACAGTGTTCTTTCATAGTACTTTACAGTACACAGTAAAATAGCATGTTATAAATAAATATTGGGACTGGCAGGTAAAAAGAAGCTGTCATTGACAAGTTAGGAAGATTGGGCTACCAGAGCAGCATGCCAAAACGCTAGCCACTTGTTCTTATGCTACTGAATTATTTTGCTTTTTGGTGTTAGTGTGTTAGATGGTATATAGTAACCTATTAAATTCATATGGTACTTTTTCTGCAAGGGTGGTCATATTTATAGAATACCACACAGCCAGGAATTGAAATGCTGGGAATCTTTTAATGGCTTTACTGTCTTTATCAGCTATGTACTAAAATTAACACTATGTTGTATTTTTGTACAGCTAGCAATTGGCATTTGAAGTAGATGTCCAGTATGCATTTTATGTCCCCTTTTCTTCATGTAGTTTTACTTTACTATTTTAGAAGTGTTTTTCTTTTTTTTTTCGCTTTGTTGATTTTGTGGGTGGTTTTGTGTTTATTTGAAAAAACTTAAAAAAATTAATGTATATTTTTAAACTTAATGAACAAGGCTTATTGAAAAGGGAGATTTATGCCACAGTTTTGTACAATATTTGGTTCTGTGCTAAGGCGTGGATTCAGTAAAAACTTTTTGTTGTTTTTACAGGTATCTTGGTCAGACATTGGGGGACTAGATAACGTCAAACTGAAATTGAAACAGGCAGTAGAGTGGCCATTTAAGCATCCTGAGTCCTTCATCCGGATGGGAATTCAGCCACCAAAAGGAGTACTGCTTTATGGACCTCCTGGATGCTCAAAGACAATGATAGCTAAAGCTTTGGCCAATGAAAGTGGGCTCAACTTCTTGGCAGTCAAGGTGATTTGTTTGTTTATACTTTTTATTTTTACTTTGTGTTATATGAAAGACCTGTGTGTAAATCTGAAGTAAGTTTTTTGTTTTGCAGAGTAAGCTTGCATTTTATGATTTGCCTAAGCCATTGATTCTCAACCTTTTTATCTTGTGTTTTCTCTGGTTATATCTTGTGAATCATATTTGTAAATCTAACTATGTGAACTTTGTGTGGCATCCTGCAGTACCCTTGAAAATATTTCGTGGTACGTCAGGATGCCATGTCCCCCTAGTTGAGAATCACTGGCCTAAGCCTTACTAGTTTATGATGTTTCATTTTAAAAAAAGACTGAGTTGAATCAGAAAACATTATATTGAAGCATAAATGAACCTTTGATGGATGGGTAGATATCTTTAATTTACAACTGCGCCAAAAATTCTGACAAAGCCAAAAAAGGGGAAGAAGAGAGAATGGAGTTTAAAAAAATATACCAGGCCGGGGTGGGGGGGGTGAAGCAGTGAGAACAGATGTGTAGAAAGCAGCACTGTTGAGTATTGGTGTTGCTAGGATCTTCCACTGGCCTTCTCATTACTTCTCAGTCTCAGCCTGTTTTTCTATCATCTATTTTACAGCTTCCTTCCTTCCTTTGGATCACATTGCAATTTTAGGTCTGTCCTTTCCTCAAAGCTCTGAGGCATTTAGGCTTAATCTTTTCCTATAAATACCCATTCATTCAAGTCCACAGAACTTTGTTCTTTCTTTCCATTAAGACATGCTTCCTAGTTACAACTTCATCAACGAAGAGTTGCAAAACCTCTTGGGACACTTGAGTCACTGGTAAACAAAGCTATTTTTCACTCTGTACCTACCAAGAAAGCATTATTTCTTTCTTTTGTGTAAAGCATTGGTGTTTGTGGGGGGTGGGGTATGTTCCAGATCCAAGAAGAGCAGCTAAAATATACCTTTGTGGTTATCCGCTTTGGAGATTTGGGAAGCAGTATATATGTATATACCAATTTAGTTATACTGATCAAAGCTCTTACTGTAGATATAGCCAAGTGTGAAACTTAATTGGGGAACTTGCCCCGCTTCAAGCATGCATAAACTGCACTGGTACCTTCCACTTTTTTTTCTTCTTTCTTTTTTTGACATTGATGAGAAATACAGATTTCCTGTAGAGCAAACATGTATGTAGGCAAGCCCTAGAAGAAATGCTCAGTTTTGGAAAATAACTTCTGTTTTTTTCTGCCCGGTATGCATTGGGCTGAAACCATGAGCCTTCTTCATATTGTTCAAAAGCTTCATCTTTGAAAGATCATCAGCCACAGATAAACTGTTTATCTCCCAAAAAGGATCAGAGCCTACTTGCCATAAATGTCTCCTGGGTAGAGATGGCACCTGCTACCACAAAGACGTTTGTTAAGTTTGCCCCTTGGCTCATTTATCAGCAAGCATGACTTTGTCTCTTTTGCAGTGATACCTTTTGGCAAGGAAGTACTGTATTTACTTGAATATAAGAAAACCCTGATTATAAAATACCCCCCAATAATTAGATTTTATATATGCGAAATTTATAAATGTGTTATAATTTTCCAGGTATAGAATATAATTATTGGAGGTTTGCCTTGAATTTGTCCCCCTCCCACAGCTACAGCAGGGAAAATTAAATCTGGGGGGGTCAGGTAACCCCCTTGCCTTTGCCCCCTCAGAACTTTTACCCTGAAGCCCTTTCATGCCCTTCCTTACCGTCAGGCCCTCTTCTTCCTGAGCACATGGAAGTGAGAAGCAAATTTGTAAACACTGGCCTTGAAATAAACGTATCTGTAGTAACTTGCATGTAGAGAAATTGCTACAGGTACCCAGAGGCTTCGTTCATCCAGAATTGATGCATTTTACCTCTTTTGAAACTGTTGCAGGCTTTAGCACAGGTACTCCATAAACACACTTTTAAGCAGCACTTCTGTACCTACTTGTATATAGTATAAATGATGCATGCCATTAGTCCAAAGCCAAAAGGCTCATGATTTTTACTATATGGCTCATTGGGTTGGGCCCCAGCAAAGACAACAGCATTTCAAGTCATGGTGACCCCACAGCTCAGCACTGATCTGGATACCTCCCCACAGAGGATCCATATGATGATATCACCCCCCTCATGACAGGAACTGGGTGTTTTTGTCACAAGTCTTGGGATCCTCTAGGAATGTATATGCAGATAAGGTGCATTCGCAACCTGGTCCAGCTCCACCTCATGAAGGGTGAGACCACACTAACCATATGCAACAGGCTGAGAGAGGAGGCAACAGGGATTCTAGGTAAATTATATGTGGCCATGTTTGGTGATATTCGCCAGACATTTAAGGCTGTGAAGAAATAGGACTCATTGGAATAGGAAAGAGAGGCACAGCTCAGCTGTGAGAGTAAATAGAAAATATAAGTGTATTTAATGTAGTGGCTCACCATGACTTGAAAAAGTTGGTGCTGAGGGGGGACAGGTATCTTATTCAGATGGGTCACACTAACCTATCTGTGTGGTAGGTTCCCATCAGTATGTTTGCGCAGTATGGGCCATGTGTTTTTTTAGTCATGCTCAGTGTTGGCTGCATTTAATGAGCTTTATAGTTAGTTTCCATTACTGAGCATGCACTACTTTTAGCACCAGTTTAATGATGGACAATGTATTTAATGAGATTTTCTTGTATACAGATATAGGCTCTTTTTCCTCATGTCAATGTGGGGGAACCTTGTCTTATATTTGAGTAAATGCGAAACTTACCAAAACCTGCTTTTAAGAAAGGGAGACTATTTCAGTTTTAAAAGCCCTGGTTCCCCGATATTTTTTTCCTTTTCTACTGACTGTGTCCCAAATGTCTGTCACTGGGTGAGCTGTCAGGGTCCCGAGTGGAAAATTGGTTTCCTGATAATTTCTTTTGAGAGACCTACCTACTTTTCTCTATCTTTCCTATGCCAGAGGAAATTCTCTAGATGTCTGTGCAATGACCTTTCCAATTTACACTGTTAACACAGTTAAGTAAGGTATTGCTGTTAGGTTGTTTTTAATATACTAAAAATAACATACCATTCCCATGTATATACTCAAATGGCACAGGAGTTAGAAAGGGCATAGTGAAATGCTGCATCCCAGAGGATAAGATGTGTTTCTAGTTTGCCTCTCTTGGTGAGTATAATCCAAATATATTTCCCAGGAGTGGGAGTTAAGGGAAAACATTATGGTAACATTGTTTACATTGTATTCCGTTCTCTTTTGCTATCTCCTGTGAAACAATAAGGTTATGCTTAGAATGAGTTTAACATTTTTGTCTTCTTGCCTTTGGATATTCATTTGAGCTCTCCATTATCTGTGGTGTTATGGATGTCAGCAGGGGAAAATTTCAACTGTCTTAAAAGAGCAACAGTGAGCCTAATTCTTAAAGGAAAAGAATGAAAATTGAGTAAAGATCTGTCTCTCTTCCTTACCCTCACCTTTTTATTTCTTAAGTTTATTAAGGAGGTGATTGTCCACTGCTTCTAAGGCAGTGTGAGGGGGAGGGGGAAGTCTTTGTTTCACTTTCTCATCACTCAAGGCACTTTTACGTGTGCTCTGGTGCATTCTGATTAGAACATGTCCGAGCAAACTCAAATCGAATCCGCTTGTGTTCTCATTGGAATGCTCCGGTGTGCTGCAGAGTATTGAATGAGCTTTACTTAAAGCACTCCTGCTGCATTTTGAAAGACAGGATGCTGAATACACAAGACACTGTGGGCATATCAATTAGAGTGGCATCTGAGGACCTCTCTAATTAACCCCCACCCACCCATCCATACCCACACCCACCCACACACACCCACACACACTCTGGAGCATGTATATAGGTGCCCTCAGAGACCAATATGACTTTTTAAAGCATTTTAATGTGCATTGCATTTTAAAAAATCTGATTTACTGTTGATTTACTATTGATACATTCCTGTAACTGATACTGTCCTGTAACTTAAAGCCTTGAAGAAATAAGAAAAGATTTCAGTGTTTATGCATGGACTAGTATAAGTGTATAAAAACCTGGAAAGGAAGAAATCAGGTTAATTTTTGATCTCTGAAACAGGCCTGCCTCAGTGTTTGAACTTCTGATTTGAAGTAGACATTTCTTTTGCCTGGTTTAATTCTTATTTCTGTCAATTCATGCAGTCTTCCCTAGCACAAGCCAAAAGACTGATAGCTTTCCTCAGATTTTTTTGGTGCTTTTCTATAACCGATAGAATAAAAATATCACCTAAAGGCCCATATGTATTCTTAGGATACTGAAACGTATCTTTCAATTCCTGTCAACCTGATGACAGCTCTCTGCTGTGCACAACTGTCTGTGGCATTTAGCTTTGGCTGTCATCTAGTTCCCTGAAATTGAATGTGGAACAAATGAAGCCCTTAGTCATTGGATCACTTCTTTCTTGATTTTTTTTACCCCTAGTTTCTTTTGACAGTTTTCTTAGGATGGCTAGATACCTGTCTTGTTTTGACAGCTTCTAAACCTGGGGTCAGTTTTGACAGGATGCATCTTTCAGACTTAATCAGGTTAAGGCTTTATGGAACTGCTGTGGGAGCAACTCTGGATGATACCCGCCATACTGTGTATTTTGGGGATGTAAAGATTTTTATATCTAGGTTTCTGTTGCATCTTGATTACTGTAGTTTTTCTTACTACGTAGTTTGGGGCTTCATTTTTTAGGAACTGTTTTATTACATGTAGTGAGTTTAGGGTTATAGCTTAGCTCAGACTGTCTTTAAACTTCAAACAGCTCTTTATTTCCTGGGTACGCTTGCCTCAGGAATATCACAGGCATTAATCAGAAGTCAACAACATAACTTAGCATAGTCCATACAGCTTCTGTAAGACCATGTGCCTCTGACTGTGATGGATGGACTGTCCCTCTCTTTTTCTCGCTCTCTCACTGAGTTCTCAGCTCTCAGTTCCCGTTCTGTGTCTCCTTCCCCCAGGAGCTGAACTCTGCTCTCTGGCTCCCTTCCCCA